GCGCCATCAAATAGCTATCTGTGTGAGGTTGTCGAAAGGAAAAAGCATCAACGAGTGATTTTAATGCCCGGGGTCTTTACCTGATGTATAGCATGAAAAAATTGCCTTTTCCCTGAAATGGACCAATGAAAACACTGAAGATCAACAAACACACTGCTGCTCGCTTGGCGTTTTGGTCAGAGGGGAGGGCAAAATGTTCAAGCACTGGTGTGGCATGCGTTTCGGATTTCCAGCTGGATCTCTTCATTTCCGGATGACATGATGACTAATACAAAACGATTCCAAAGATTAAGAAGCTCCTGGCAGGACAGCTGCACACTGCAGACCTGGACAATACTGAATACCCGGCGCACCAAAACAGCACATCCCCAACTCTGACATCAAGCTGGCTCGGGAGCCAATATTCCTCATTCAATACCCAAGTGAGCAGATTTTCCATTCTATCTCATTGATCCGGAGCCTGAACTCATTCTTTTCTGCTGGTCGCCAACCCTCGGGATCCATGCATCAGACACGTCGCCAAGGTGGACACGCAAAACGGATCGAGAAAGATGAATGTTGGCCGTGGACGGCCGGCAAGCACACCTCGCTGGTTTAGTAGCGGTAGTGGTCCATCTTGAAAGGACCTGCAACAGAGCCACTGATGATTGAGGCGAAGGGTTTTTGCATGTTACTTAAACTATCTTTTACCATGTTCAACATTTTGGCGCTCCCATATCCTTGGGCCTTCAGGCTTCACGCCAATGTACTCGGCCTGCTCCTTGGAGAGCTTCGTGAGGCTGGCGCCCAAGGCCGGCAAGTGAAGAGCTGCCACCTTCTCATCAAGCTTCCTGAGGGAACATTGATAAACGTCAAGAAACATCAAGAAACCAAGGGCAAAAACTCTAGATAGTTGAATCCAAAAAACGATTCTAGTCAAGCTGTTGCACGACTGGGTGTTGACTAGATGTCCCGCCGAGTGTCTTTGGCAGCAAATACACGTCGTTCTTGTAATTCTTCGCCTAGCGGCAAGCCCATGCAATCTGTCAATGGACATGACAAGGTGAGTCACATCATATAACTGCAAACAGTCGCAGCCGGCCTTGGTGCAATTCTCCAAGATGTCAAGCTGGGCCAAGACCTGTGGCAATTCAGCATCAAGAGGAAAGACATGGCTGCAAGCACATTCAAGTCCAGTGCCTGGTTGGTGAAGGAGCATGACATCACGAAGGATGGATGGCCAGTGGCGCAGCCCAGGTTCACCAGTCGGCCAGATGCCAACACAATCACACCGTGGCCATCAGGGAAGACAAAGCGATCCACCTGTGGTTTGATGTTCTCGACCTTGATGCCAGGGAAGTTCTCCAAGTCCTCCATTGCGATCTCATTGTCGAAGTGTCCAATGTTGCACACAATGGC